CACTTCTATTGAATTACAGTTGTTAGTGGTAGACCTAATTATGTATCATTGCCGATATTCAATGACGATCATTGACTATTCAATGAGCGCAGTTTATTCATTGCGAATTCTAAACATAACTAATTAAAACTGGATGCGACACAACGCAAACCTTCACTAGAGAGATCGAGTTATAAACATTTAAAGAAAGCAAACAATGCTATATGTATGATAATGGCGGAATTCCATGATTAGTAATTATACTTATCCATAACGTAACGTTATTAAATTAATCACAAAGTTACCAGAAGTTAAATACGCGTTGTCACTAGAACAACAATGAGTCGTACATTTACGTAGAAGAAACACAAGATAATGTATAATTCCAAATTAAATTTCAAAATTCAGGATGTCTATAAAAATGGGAATACAAGGTCAATGCAAACATATTAAATAATCAACAAAAATTTTATTACATTTTAAAATACTTTAACCATGTTTTAAGTCGTGTTGCAAGCTCATTAAGATCCATTAAAACCCAAATCCCACAGTGAGCAATAAATTTCAATTTCACTCACAAATAAGAGAAGGTCGCGATGACAAGCGAACCAAAGGTGATTATCGAAATAAAACGGGTCGCGTGCGGTGGAATGGATTTCCCGTCACAATCCCAACTGTGACTCGCCCAACACACTTGGATTCTACATTTTAAATGCTGGGCTATAATATTTGAAAAGTACGTACCTCTCTCAATACCCGTTTCATTTTTGTACTGAGGCTATTAATGCAATATGTTGCAAAAGAAAGGACATAGCTCATGAGAGTTTCAACTTTTGGTTTGTGGGGAAACAGTAAGAAAAAAACATTTTTTTCACTAACGGGTCTAAAATGATTGGACAAATACATTATAACATTTGAACAAAAATTAATACAGCGATTAGGGTTGTACAATTTTTGCTCAAATTTTAAAGTACCATAACAGACGAAATCTCAATCAAAATCGTTCGAGCCGTTTATCAAAAATCCAATTTCCCGTTATTTTATGTGATTTTATGGGAAAATCACCATTAAAATCAAAATAAATTTCTAAAAAAAACTACTAAAATTCTATGGATTATAATTTACATTCCAAATCTAATCAAAATCGGCCTGCAGGTGTACCTATGTAGCTCAGTACACACCCACCTACACACACACACGTATCTTTGAAAACCGCCCAAAACTTATATTTGTAACAAAAACTCGAACTAAAAAATGTTTACGAAAACAATACTTTCTCTATACATACTATGTGGCCAGGGGGGAGAGTAAAATACACGAATACAGGGTTTCTTAACTATTCTTGATACATTTCCCCGACTTGCATTGAAATACTGTAACAACTGTATACTGTAGAAAGTATTGAACTAGCCAGTTGGTTCACAGTACAAAGACTTGCTCAATGAACTGCTCAAGTGGTGTAGTGCCACTTGACATGGCTTTTAACACATCGATACAGTTTTGTTCTGGCCTTTTATGTTCTTAAGAGTTGATCCTGCTGAACAAAATGGACATTTGTTTTGTTGTTTTTTTCCGGTTTGGACCCGTTTTATGAGAAACGGCAGGAATATCTACCTAGTTAATGCTAGACCCTGGGGGGTATTTTCACAGTATTTTCACTTTCGGTATACAGGTCTAACAATAAAATTTTAATATTTTCGAGAATTGCCTTATGACTAAAGGAGATAAGGGTCCTAGATAAAGTTTTAGCTAAATAGCCTATAGTTTGAATTATGTAAATAGTCTTGGTCATATATTTATGATGTGCTTTTAAAATTCATAATTGCGAAGGGTACCGGTACTGTATCGGGATCAACTTAATCATAATTTCATTTGGCGGGATTTGAACCCGGGACCTCACGGACCGAATTCCCGCGCTCTTAACACTACACCAGCTCGCTCTCCCAACCGACCGTCTGGTAAACGTATGAGACAATGTATAAAATGTGTTAACTACTGTATCGTATGTTCTCTGCTATTTAACCGAAGAGTAACTTAAAGTACACACTGTAAAACTAATCCTAAAATAGAATAAACAGAGTCAGCCAGCACACTCAAGCAACGGACACGAAACACATCAAAACAGGCCTCATAATCTGCCTCATAATAATCTTTACATAGGATACATACTGTACTAAATTGATTGTAAATTGCGGTGTACAAAATTAATGTTAACGAAGTTTGTTCGAATAATATTTATTTTACTTTTACCAACCAGTCTACGTTTGGTGAATTAAAAGAGCGTTTTAAGTTCACTTTCTAATATACAGTGTTCAAAAAAGCTGGAGTGATCTACGTACGGTAGTGATTTCTTGAGCCAAAATAAGGAGAAAATCAAGAATGAAACTTTATTTCTCAACCAAAATTGCTTCGTTAACCATATCCACCTTTTTGTATCAGCTAGATCTTCAACATCCAAGTTCGTAGAATAACAATTAAATTACCAGACGCATCAATATTAAAAACAATTCTAGATTACGCTCGATTTAAGACCGGTCACACATGCACACGATTCAGATTTGAGTGTGCGCAAACAGCTGCACTGTACAAACATCTGGAGATTCAAGATAGACCTCAACATCTGACTAGGAACAGCTGATTTGAACCCACAGGTAGCAATAGGTGACCCGACTAGAGACTAAACAAATGAAACCTTCCAGGGAGGGTCGTGTTGAAAGACTACAAGTCGTAAATTTGGAAACAGTCGCTTTCAAAACTAACAGCTGGTGCGTGCCCAACAGCTGCGATTTTGCAAAATGAAAACCTGGCCAAATGTGCAAGAGAATCCTGTAGTACAGTCAAAACTTGGTTTCTTGTCAATAAAACGTGATTGTGACAGATAGTACATATTCTTATAGATTCAATGTCAATGTTAGTTATAAAGCCAGTGTAAGTATGGAGTTTAAACCCTTTTAAAAGGGTGAGGTGGTAATCCTGACCTTAAAAGGTTGGTAGGTACTTTAATCTCTCCAAATTAATGTCGAGTGGAAGTGCCTACTGCAGGCACTGCCAGATAATGTACAACGTTTACATGACACTACGTTTAACGGTGACTTATTCGGATTGCATCCATATGCGCGAGTAGCTTGGCATGTATCTAAGTATATAAATACATCTAAAGATGAAATAAGAAAATACCAGTTGATTCCAATGTTGATTCGTATGGCAATAAGAGTGATTTGATTGGCTTGAAGCATGGATGCAAAGTTAATTCCAGCTTATTTCTATACGTAGCCCCCCGCGTCGCCAGCAATGAAGATGTGATCGGAACTAGTTAATTCAAATACAATAAAAGCAACAACCGTATGTCATGTTTTGTTTGGATGCATAAAAATGTTAAACTTAAAAAACATGCTTATTATTGAAAAAAAAACTTAATTAAGTTTGTTGGGCTAGCCCAGGAGCAGCAGCACACAAAATCGTTTTGACAAAACTCAAAGTATTAAATCCTGGCAATAAAATTTAAATATGACGACCTACCAGCACTTAGTAATTTTGATGAATATCTAAATATTGGAAGTAATTCCTTGATTCCTTCAGTCTGTCATACGCAGTAAAAGAACCAGGAGTTTATTTCCCAGACTCAAGCTGAACTCTTCACACCAAATCCGCAATCATCACCACTCTTATCATTGTTATCAGGTACGTCTGTTTACAACCAGAGATAGTGATTACCTCGCTTAATGTAGGCTTACAAAGCTTAGCTTACACAGAACTAACAAACACAGCACAAATCAATGTTATAATTGTCTACACCCTCAAGCTAAAATCTACCCAAAGGTGGGTGGTACGAACGAGAAGGATGTGGAAGGATAGTTATCCTTTGATCACAGGAATTGTTTGTGTTTGTAGTCAAATCTATGGACGACACGCCACGAATTTTTGCCTTAGACACTCTCATTCTGGGATACTAAATTAAACATCATATAAAATAGATGTCTCCTACAGGGAAGTGTATACCTAGTACAGTATGAAAGATTGTAGTCACACTAGCAGAAAAAGCTGGTTCAAAGGAGCGATCGGCAAAAGTGTGCTGTTGCAGAATACATTTACAATTCCAGCATCTAAAAGTCAACCATAAAACCGCAAATCAGTTTATCATTCCATATAATTTCATGCCTGACAAGTAGACCGTATCAGAACCACATGCTGATAACTTGAGGTTTAGGAACTTATCATTGACGAAAATATAGGACAGCTATAATAAAAACTTTAGTATTTCGTCAGCAAAGCCACAAGGATAAGATATATATTTATTTTGAATAGCAACCCATTGCAATTAGAAAGTAACAGTACCTATATCAATCACTAAATAGACAATATTTTAGAGCAGCATATACTGTAGAATGAAACTACAACTACCACTGCCAGGGAATTTGTTGACGTACGGTATGAACTACGTTTACCCTAGTGTATGCAATTTTGGTAGGTGATGAAAACAACAGGTTTTCAGTCAATAATTCTAGCATATCTAATAACCTTTATTATTAGGCCTACTATTACAGAGCTCTTAACTTGTCCTTGTCATAGAATGTTTTCTCCCTTCGCATTAAACTTGATGTTTTACTAAAGCAATAACAATAAAGACATAATACAAACAATTTTTCAAATATTTAATGTTGTTTAATCTAATTAATATTGTTGCTTAATTTTGCTTTATGCGGAGCGCTCAAAATCATTTGATATTGCGCGTAACTTAACCTATTTATGTTTCAAACAGGTATTTACCTATAACTGTGTGCACTCTTTCATCATAATCCTTGAAACCGTTAAATTGTTACTTGACGTCATACTAAAGAATGATTAACTTTCAAATAGGCAAAACTGGTTTAACCATTTCCAAGAAGTTCAACATCGCTAGAAGAAACTTTCCTCCTGTCAAATGAAAGCCAAACCTTGACAAACTCAAACAAAAGTTTTGTACAACGACAAACTGAACCATTATCACCCTTACAATAGTTGAAAACAAGTGAAACACTTACATGACAAGAGAATATCCATTTTTATATCACATTACGCGAGTACGAAACACTTTACACAACACATCTCACCCCAGCGACAACTGGAACAAAACTGATCTTCATTCTTCTTCTCTCTCGCTCTAAACCCCCCCCCCTCACTCCAGGCCAGTCTAGCGTTCCCTCCCCGCTCCCCGCGACACTACTCCTTCCAGCGTGGTTTGCATATAAACGCCACAAAACCGGTTGGCCTCAAGGTGTTCAGTCTAAAAGCTAAATCACTGCTCCGTTCCCAGACGTTCCTCTGTCGGTCCGCCCGTCCGCTGTTCCTCACTGGCAACGTCTGAACGCTGGAGCGCTGGAGCCTGGTTGTCACGACTCAAAAGATTTGAATTGGGGCTTCGAAAGGGTTATTTTTACAGTATACAGTATAATCATAATCAATTGGTTTAATCACAGATAAGAAAAAAGAAACGCGTACACTGAACAGTATCTCATGTGTATGTGAGTTTGGAGAGTCAATACATGTTTATTTTAAACTAGCTATCCAGGGGTCAAAATATAGATGTTTGATAGTTATTTTTAAATAGCCTATATCCTACCGTAAAAATATATCAAAAATAAAACAGTACATGACTTACGTATAACATTCACAAATTAAACTGGCAAAAGTTCTTTATGTAGAACGTATAATGCCAGTTACTTTGTAAAATAAAAATTTACTTAACAATCTGTAATAGAAATGAGAATAATTACCTGAAAGAATAAGGCTTCAATTCACTAAAGAATCTCACTTGAAACATGTTTGGAGGTATTTACAAACAGTCAATAAAATAAACTAAATAAATAACATCTGATTGACAATTTAAAACATGAAGTAAATAAAAGAAAGGCAGAGTATAAAATATTATAACACAATCATTATGTAAAACCATAATTTGGTTATAGTCAAAGTTTTAGTGTGTGTTTAAACTCTCCTTGATGTCAACGTCAACTAAAATCGAAAAATGTCCAATGTGCGCTTTAATATTTGGAATACTAGAGCGCAACAAGTATTTGACAAGATCGTAATATATTACTAATTTTATATCGTAATGATTTTAAAGTTAGTACTAAGAGAAAATATTCACGCACCCCAGTGGTACCGGACTCGGACATAAAATACGTTGAATTGTCCATAAGGATGCTAAAACCATAAATAAGTATGTTTACTCAGTTTTAAATCAACTAGACAATTTCCCATAACCATCACACTTCACCGATACATTACCTTGGTTTAGTCGCAAATCAACTAAAAACTTAACCGCAACAATTCTCTGCAGCGATTGGGGGTGTAACAATTCAGTTTTATAGCTCAGTATGCTTCTAGAACCCCTGTAACTGCCTACAAGATGGGTTATTGTTATTGCGAGATATAAGTGCTGTGGCACTAGAAACTGTGCCTCATTTTAACAATCACCTCAAGTTGTTGTATCTTCTTTTTGACAAAATAAGTATAGTACTACCAGCATTGAGTAAACCCTTGTTTTTATACCAAGGGTTATTATCATTATTATAGCAAAGCACATTAAGGTATGTATTTTAAACTGACTTTGAAAGCAATTTGGGGAAAATGAGGGAGATTCTGTGTGGCTTTGTTACTGTTGTAAATCAGCTGTTTTATCAGCCAGGATCATTTATTTAAAGCTCAATAAAGGAACAGCTGGGTTGATTTTCAAACCAACGAAGCTTTAACTTTTTCAGGGTCAACCCGGCAACCTTTTTATTGCACTAATTATTGACTATGGATACTAAGGATACTGAAGCAGACATCCCATCTATATAAACCAGCTGCAGCCAATTTTTTTTTTCAAGAATGTAGTTGTGTAAGCCAGTCACAGAATGCAATAATCACTAAAATTAACTAATTTAGCAGTAGTTGAATTGGTTATCTCCACTACATGCTTGGATTAATTCATTGATATTAATAATTTTTGTTGAACAAGAGCCGATTTAATCCTTTAATCCCGTCTACATCACTTCATTCAAAACAGTTTTTCCTGTTTATTCACGTCTGTGTTGAAATTCGCCTTACTATGATGTATTGCCTTATATGATGTATCGTCCGATTTATTCTTCTGTGTAGTTAATCAAGCGACAAACCACAAATAAATAAGTGAAATCGACCGAATCAGCGCGTGTTGAGGTTAAGTTTTTACCAAACCGACTTACCACAATTGTTCCGACATACTCATGTAGATGTTGACTTATCTGCATAAAAAATAAATAATTTATATCCACAGAACAAAGAGCAGCGTTTACACTGTGATGAAATAACGTAATTGTTTTATTTTATAGGATAGTTGCTAAAAATGAATTAAGGTAGGATAATCCACGTGGAGTATTAAAGTAGCCATAATATCAGATTGTTATCATTTGGCTGAGGGGATGCCATAACAGAATAGAGAAATAGCCTCTGTTTCACTCCGTGATTACATTATAGCAAGCAATACAAGCTTATGTAGGAATACATATTGATTTCGTTAAATGCTAAAATTCAGACTTGCAAATAATTTCATTGCAACATAATCATATAATACACCTTTGTAACGTTATTTATATATTACGTCTGTAGCAGCAAACATAACTACTCGTTAAACTAAGTTTTTATTAAATAAGGAATACATATGACAATTTGATGAGATACTTCAGTGAAAATCCAACCAGACAAATGGAAATTCGCTTGGTCTGCAGGTTTGCTGCGGTGGAGGTATTATTTATCTTAACCTTGCAGGCAACTCAATATTACAAAGTTCATACGAAAACAATATAAAAACAATAAATTAAACTCATATGAAACATCTGAACAGTAAAGCATTTTCTTACAATAACTTATCAGCTAAAATTTTTATGAAAGGTGTCACTAACACGTTGATACTTAAAACAAACTCAGTGATGATTTCAATGTTAATGTTCTAATACATTATACAATTCAGAATTCCAAAAAGTATTGTAGATATTAGGGGACTATTTTTACACAAGTTTTATTATAGATATTTCGTTATAATGTATCGACTAAGACAAAAATGTGGGTATTTACGTTTATTACGTTTTTTTACTTCTGTAGTAGGCTTAATATTGTGACAATCAAATTTTAACTGCTCCACATTCATTATTTACGTATTTAAATACAAATTAAATATAAAACGGATCTTTTAATAACTTTTAATTGATAATTGAGACTCTACGTTTATAGGATAGGAATAAATTAAATCGTCATATATTGATTTAATATTACCATCGACGTTCAAAGTCGAAATATATACATTAGACTATATACATCGATAAACAGTTAGAGAGAAACGACGTTTTTCCGGTTATGAAAAAAAATTGGAAAGTAGCAAATAGAAAGGCAAAAACTCCATGACGAAAGCAGTTCCATATCCGATATAAATTATGTATTTCTATCGGAATACTGTATTTAGAGTGGGTAGGGATGAATATCAAAACGTCTGACAGTTTGTAAATATTATTTACAGGTCCTATCTATATAAACTAGGTCTAGCCAGTTATTTTAAATTCGAAAAATAACATAGATAGTTTCTTATAACGTGTATTACTACTGAACTTATGTTTTCTTAATTATTATGAAAACTATCTTCTTGTTTAACGGACACATGTAAATAGTATAGCGCTTACTACAAAAGGTTCAAAAATTGCATAAAGTTAATTTACAATAGCATACACTGTCGGTACCAATTTAACTATGCATTTATTTTAACTGGCTTCAACTTAAACATGGAAATTTACTGTTTACTTCAGTGTACATAGAATATACATTTTCATTTCAAATAATTATCAGTTAGTTAAGATGGGGACGACACCTAGGTGCGTATTTTAACCCAAATATGAGTGAAGAATGAGTGCAAAAATGGTGTGAGATGATCTGTGTAGTATTGTTACTGACTAAACCAGCTGTTTCATTAGCTAGAATCGTATATTTAAAGCCCAATAATCAACGACAGCTGGGTCCAGTTTCAAACTACCAAAAACAAAAAGTTACGAAATTTACTCAGGATCGAGCTGGCGACCTTTGATAGGTGAGCACTGTAACCACTCAGCTACCTAACCAGTTTAAAGTGTTTAGTCACTTAACCTAACCTATGGTGTGATCGGTAAAACAGAATACCACCAACAAATCAGAATGTATCCGGTAATGTCCGCTGATCTGACAATTTCGCTCCTTTTGTGCTATAATTTCGCTTACTAACTGTCCTGCCAAGCTGCAAAGGTTAGCTCAAATTTCACACGTCGCAGAAATGCTGTCTCGGTATTTCTTTCTCTTTGCGTGTGACATTTCTATGACTTCGCAGCGTAAATGATTCTCTTACTGCTGACATTACTTTCCTTGATAACGGCGCAGTTGATATTTTCATGTAAGCAAAAATTCCTTTTGTATGTATACACAGTCGTGAATAAATACAGAGAGAAATGAGATATATATCTCTGTAAGTAAGTGTTTAGTCTCGACAGTAGACTAAACAACAAATCAAAGAGTAGGCATACTCTTTAATCTATATGTCTACTTGTATAGATGTAGGCCTATCATCCTTATGGAAAAGCCGAATACAATTAATTGTAAGGTTAAATCTGCACCGGTTATGCAAAGGAAACATTCATACACAACTTTTAAAAATATGTTCATAAAATAACAATTTATTCGTAAACAATTTCTTGTTTTCTGGTATTATAACCTAATAGTAAAACACAATTTTTAAATCAACCTGCAAATAAGAAAAACATAGTCGAAATCAGTGCACTCAAACGTTACCAACACAAATCAAAACAGGCTTCAGACTTTTTAATGGGATGAGAAGTGTAGCCTACTTCCACCATTGAAAACTCAATGACTCTAACCACAATTCCGATGTTTTCTATGACACTCTAAAATACGTTGTTTTGACGGATGTCATTAGTATGACTGCTGTATAATGAATCTCTAGGGCATTCGCAATGTTATCAAACTATAGAAATATGGTTCTATGCATAGTTCTGACATGTTCTATGTGACACTAATAATGTTCCTTGTTTCACCTAATTGTAATTGATTTTTTCCTTGCATTCTG